TGCCACCGAAATATCCTCACCCGAGATATCCTCACCCGCTGGCTTAAAACTGCCACCGAAACATCCTCACCCGCTGGCGCTTAAAACTGCCACCGAAATATCCTCACCCGCTGGCTTAAAACTGCCACCGAAATATGCTCACCAGCTGGCTTAAAACTGCCACCCGAAATATCCTCACCCGCGGAAATAAAACTGCCATCTAACGGCCTGGTGGTTCAGTTCAGTCTGTCAGTGTCTACCTCGCGAGAATCAAATTACGGGCTGCGCCCGTAAAAGAACTCCCCCTGGGGCTCCGGCGCGCGTCCCGCCGGCCACCCGGAAGAGGTGGTTGCAAACGGTTTTCTTGCCCCAAGCGGCCAAAGGATGGCCTCCAAGACGGCCAAGATGCCTCCAAGACGGCCAAGATGGCCTCCAAGACGGCTCAGATGGCCCCAAGATGCCTCCAAGACGGCCCAAGATGTACCCAAGACGGCCTAAGATGGCTTGAAGGTGGCCCAAGACAGCCAAAGAGGCCCCCAAGAGGCCCAAGAGGCCTTCAAGAGGGCCTCCAGGAAGGCCGAAGAGACCAAAATCATTGATGTTCCTTAGGTTCTTTTTTAACATTTTGGCAGTTGCTTCTTCTCAGCATTCCGACTGCCCCTGACGGCCCAAGAGGCCCCCAAGATCGCCCAAGAGGCCCCCAAGAGGGCCCCATGACGGCCCAAGTGGCCTCCAATGCCGCCCCAAGAGGGCCCCAAGACGGCCCAAAAGGCCTCCAACACGCCGAAGATGGTCTCCAAGACGCCCAAGATGGCCTCTAAGACGGCCCTGGGCATCCCAAGAGGGCCCCAAGTCGGCCCAGAAAGGCCCACAAGACGGCTCCCGAGGCGTCAATCGTGCCAGGAACCCACCAAGATGGCCGAAGTTGGCTCGAGGCTGGCCCAAGACGGCCCAAGAGGCCCCCGCCAGATGAGGCCAAAAACATTGATTTGCCATTGGTTTTTCAGCATTCCGACGGCCCAAAGAGGCCCCCAAGATCGCTCAAGAGGCCCCCAAGAGGGCGCCATGACGGCCCAAGTGGCCTCCAACACGGCCCCAAGAGGGCCCCAAGACGGCCCAAGAGGCCTCCAACGCGCCCAAGATGGCCTCCAAGACGCCCAAGATGGCCTCTAAGACAGCCCTGGGGCACCCCAAGAGGGCCCCAAGTCGGCCCAGGAAGGCCCCCAAGACGGCTCCCGACGGCGTCAGACGTGCCAGGAACCCACCAAGATGGCCGAAGTTGGCTCGAAGCTGGCCCAAGACGGCCCAAGAGACCCCCAGGAGGGCCTCCAGGAAGGCCAGAAGATGCCAAAAACATTGATTTTCCATCGGTGTTTGACGGATTTTGACATTTGCTGCTTTTCTGCCTTCCGACTGCCCGAGACGGCCCAAGAGCCCCCAAAGATCGCCGAAAGATGGCCCAAGAGGCCTCCACGATGGCCCCAGAACGGCCCAAGAGGGCCCCAAGAGGCCCCCAAGACGGCCCAGGAGACCTTTAAGACGCCCAAGATGGCCTGGAGCATTCCAAGAGGGCCTCAAGCCGGCCCATAGAGGCCCCCCAAACGGCTTCCGACGGCGTCAGGCGGACCAGGAGCCCACCAAAACGGCCGAACATGCTCCTACGATGACCCAAGACGGCCCAAGATGCCTCCAAGAGGGCCTCCAGGAAGGCCCGAAAAGGGTCAAAGTATTGATGTCCCATGGGTTTTTGAAGATTGTGGCGTTTGCTTTTTGTTCGGCCTTCCGACGGCTTCAGACGGCCCAAGTGCCCCCAAAGATCACCCAAGAAGCTCAAGACACGGCCCTAAGAGGCCCCCAAGACGGCCCAAGAGGCCTCCCAGACGCTCAAGATGGCGGCCAAGACGGCCCACGAGCCCTCCAAAACGTCCTCCAAGAAGGCCCCAAAGGGTCAAAATGGCCTCCAGGCGGCCAAGATGACCTTCAAGATGCCTACGTGCTCCCCGAAGGCTTTCCAAACCGATTCGGGGAACACATGGTCCGATAGCTTGGCAGGTCTGGCCTCAACGTTCGGCCACATAGGCGCTTCCACAAAGGCAGGGGGCGGCGGTGATTCGCCGTAAGCGTCTTCGATCCGCCGCCCCCTCCGGTCTTGCCACATGGGGTGCCTGGCGCGCTAAATCTCTCACGATTTTGTGTTTTGGGTTCTTTTCCGAAAGAACTCCCCCGACGTCCGTTGCGCTGGCCACCCGCACGTCCGCACAATCCGCCGAACAAATTGCCCACTCGCACTTAGAAAACATCCGTGGCCGCGGGGGCCCACTGCCAGGCCGTAGCGTTGTCGTGAGCCTGGTCTGGCGTGGCCGTGGAAAGGTTTTTGACCATGGCCTACAGCTCCCTGTGCCTCTCCTGCTGCCGCTCCCGACGTCTGCTCGCCGACCTGGGGCGGGAAGGCGGTCGCTGGGCGGAGGCCAGGGTGGCCCTGCTGCGACCCGGGGGTCTGGACTTTGGCGGCGCAGTGGGTGCCGCCTCGCTGGAATCATGACGCAACCGATGCCACGTGTGACCACCATGTAGCTGCCAGACTGCACTGGGTAGCCGACGCTAACGCCGACGGCGACGACGACGACGACGACGCCGAGAACGACGCCGACGACGCCGACGCCGACGACGCTGGACACGACGCCAGGCACGACGCCGAGCACGACGCCGACAACGACGCCGACGAAGAGCACAACGCCGACTACGACGCCGAGCACGACGCCAACACCGACGCCGCTGGCGACGACGACGACGCCGACGCCAGCGACGACGACGACGCCGACGCCAGCGACGACGACGACGCCGAGCACAACGCCGAGCACGACGCCGAGCACAACGCCGACGACGCCTACGCCGACGCCGCCGACGACGCCGCCGACAATGACGCCGAGCACGACGCCAACTCCGACGCCGGCAACGACGACGACGCCGAGCACGACGACGAGCACGACGCCGAGCACGACGCCGACAACGCCGACACCAACGTCAACGCCGACAACGTCAACGCCGACGAGGAATCCGACGCCAGTGTCAAAGCTAACACCGACGCCGACGCCGACGATGACGACGAAGCCGAGCACGACGCCGAGCACGACGCCGAAGACGCCGACGCTGACAACGACGCCGAGCACAACGCCGACAACGACACCGACGCCGACCACGCCGAGAACGACGCCGTCGCCGACGCCGACCCCGCCGACGATTACGCCGACAACGACGCCGACGACGATTACGCCGACAACGACGCCGACGCCGGCGACGACGAGGACAACGACAACGACGACGCCGAGCACAGCGCCGTCGTCGTCGCCCCCCACCCCCCCACTCTGGAGTCCGGGGGCACCCCAAACGCGACAACAGAAACCGCTCGTTCTTCTGTGAGGGCACTGGGCCCCAGAACCCGGCAAAAAAGTCAACTTTGAAGAATTCTACCTCGCTTGCACCCCCCCTGGCCCGCCCCCCATGGGGCGCTAATGAATTATTGGGTAGGAGGAGGGGGAGGAGGAGGAGGAGGAGGAGGAGGAGGAGGAGGAGGAGGAGGAGGAGAAGGAGGAGGAGGAGGAGAGGAGAAGGAGGAGGAGGAGAAGGAGGAGGAGAGGGGGAGGAGGACGAGGAGGAGGAGGAGCGGGAGGAGGAGAAGGAGGGGGAGGAGGAGGAAACGGAGGAGGAGGGGAGGAGGAAAAGGCGGAGGAGAAGGAGGAGGGGCAGGAGCAGGAGAGGAACGAGGAGGATGAGGGGGAGGGGAGGAGGAGGAGGAGGAGGAGGAGGAGGAGGGAGGAGGAGGAGAAGGAGGAGGAGAGAGGGAGGAGGGGGAGGCGGAGGAGGAGGATGAGGAGGAGGGGAGGGTGAGGAGGAGGAGGAGGAGAGGAGGAGGAGGAGGAGGAGGAGCGGGAGGAAGAGAAGGAGGAGGTGAGGAGGAGGAAACGGAGGAGGTGGAGGAGGAAAAGGAGGAGGAGGAGGAGTAGGAGCAGGAGAGGGAGGAGGAGGATGAGGGGGAGGGGAAGGAGGAGGGAGGAGGAGGAGGAGGAGGAGGAGGAGGGGGAGGCGGAGGAGGAGGAGGATGAGGAGGAGGGGGAGGGTGAGGAGGAGGAGGAGGAAGAGGAGGAAGAGGAGGAACAGGAGGAGGAGGAGGAGGAGGAGCAGGAATTGGAGGAGGAGGAGGAGGAGGAGGAGGAGCAGGAGACGGCGGAGGAGGAGGCGGAGTAGGAAAAGAAGGAGGAGGAAGATGATGATGATGAGGAGGAGGAGGAGGAGGAGGAGGAGGAGGAGGAGAGGAGGAGTGGGGGAAGAAGGTGCCCTGCTCTGTCCCTAAAGACCCCCTTCTGGATTCTGGGCCCTTTAAAGGGCTCGTTTGCGACCCTACAGGGCCCCTTTTCCTAGAAGAGGAAGAAACACGCTGTAAACATAAGCTCTGACCTCTCCGCGCGGGTCTCTTGGATCTGCGCTGGCCCCCCCCATCCCTGGCGCGCTCATATTCATGGCGCTTTTTCTTGCGATTTTCAGCAGCCCTCGCTGCCCTCCAATTCATCGCCCCCCCGCTTACGCGTCCTCTCCGACCAGCGATAACTGGGGGAGCTGTGGTCCTTACCCCCCTGGGGGAACCCATCGCATCGACGATCTCTCGAGAGGGGTGTCGAAATCGATGGGTCCCCCAGGGGGGGTAAGGACCACAGCTCCCCCAGTTGTGGCGGCCTGCCTCTGGCCCCCGCCGCCCCGTCGCCCCGCCAAGGGGGGCGGAGGAGGAGGAGGAGGAGGAGCAGGAATTGAGGAGGAGGAGGAGGAGGAGGAGGAGGAGGAGGAGGAGGAGGAGGAGGAGCAGGAGAGGGCGAGGAGGGAGGAGGAGGAGGAGGAGGAGGAGAACAGAAGGAGGAGGAAGATGAGGAGGAGGGAGGAGGGGGAGGGGCAGGAGGAGAGGAGGAGTGGGGAAAGAAGGGTGCCCTGCCTCTGGCCCCCGCCGCCCCGTCGCCCCGCCAAGGGGAGGCCTGGAGCGTGGCCGAGCCCGCCGCGCGCCGCAGCCGCGCGGGGGAACTCCCCTCGCCTCGCGGCGGGGGCCGGGAGCCGCGGGGGCCGCGGAGGGCACGGGCTGAGGGAGGGGAGGGAGGGAGGGAGGGAGGGAGGAGGAGGAGGAGGGAAAAGGAGGAGGAGGAGGAAAGGAGGAGGAGGAGGGGGGAGGAGGAGGAGGAGAAGGAGGAGGAGGAGGAGGATGAGGGGGGGGAGGAGGGGGAGGAGGAGGAGGAGGAGGAGGGGGGGAGGGGGGAGGGAGGGAGGGGGGAGGGGGGCAGGGAGGGAGGAGGGAGGAGGAGGGGTGGAGGGAGGAGGGCAAAGGGGCAGGGCGAGGGGCAGGTGGTGGGGTGAGGCGGGGGAGGAAGGGCGCAGCATGGGGCAGGGGCGGAGTGCGGGACCTCCTTCTCCTTAGAGTTGCACCTCCTCCTCCTCCTCCTCCTCCTCCTCCTCAGAATTTCCGCCTGTGCATACGTAGGAGAATAGCGAACCACGATTCCACCAGTGCGTAGGAGACTATCAGAGAGAAGCTCTGTAGAAGAGTGTCTTGCAGGAGTGTCAGTGTGATGAAGAGTCAGAGACAGCACCGAGTTGATGACAGTAATTCGGCCCGAGTGGCCGCATTGGCGGCTGGGCAACGCGCGCATCAGGTGACGCCTACATTCGAACCCTGGTCACCACCCAGGCAAATACCGGCAGTGTCGGCGCCATCGCATAGGCGCTAAAAACATCATTGCACTACTCGTTACTCTTCGCTCCCCCTCCACCTCCTCCTCCATCGCCCCATCCCCTCCTCGTGCTCCTCCTCCTTCTCCTCCTCCCTCCTCCATCGCCTCCTCCTCTGTCCGTCCTCCTCCATCACTTCCTCCTCTGTCCGTCCTCCTCCTTCACATCCGCCCTCCGCCTCCATCACATCCTCCCTCCTCCGTCACCACCCTTCACCTCCTGCCCATGCGTCCTCAATTCTCCTGCGTCTCCTTGCTTCTCCTACCTCTCCTCCGGCAGTTGTGTGGGGGAGCCTCCGCCCGCGTCGCTGCTCCAAGGCGACTTCCAGGCAGCGGCAGCGGTTCCAGTAGCATCCTTTACCAATGGGAAGCACGCAATAAACAAGCATGTGACATCCGCCACCAGACGTGACAATGACCCGTCGTCGGCTCGGTCTGGCATCATCATGATCACCAGGGCCGTAGGCGACCCGAGGAGGAGGAGGTGGAGGAGGGTGAGGAGGAGGAGGAGATGGAGGAGGAGTAGGAGGGAGTAGGAGGAGTAGGAGGAAGAGGGGGAGGTCGGGTCGCCTAAGCCCTTCGGAGAAACCCGCCAGCTGTGCTCTGGAACCCGGAGCCCTCCGCCTTTGCCTCGCCTGTCGTCGCCCGTCCTGGCCCCAACCCCATGGTCCGCGACCTCGCACGCCGGCTGGCACCCCCAGGACCCCCACGCCACCCTAGAGGCCTCCTAGACGGGGTCCGAGCAGATGGGGTCGAAGGATCGCGCCGCATCGCCAATGCTTCGCCGATGCATCGGCGAGGCATCGGCGAGGCATCGGCGATGCATCGGCGACGCATCCGCGACGTCGGTGTGGGGAAAACTTGTCTCACCATCGAGCCGCATCGCGGCACGATCCTCCGACCCCATCTGCTCGGACCCCAGCAGGGAGGCCTAGAGCGCCACCCAGCCCCGATCGAGGCCGCCGCCCCTTCGGTCGGGCATGTGCTCGTACAGGCGGATTTCGCAGGACAAATCAAGACACAGAACAACAATTTAAACAAACGTCGGCGAAAAACAATACCAGAAGAATGGTCCCCAGACTACTCTTCTACTGTTCTCGAATTCTCCTCCTGTCATGCTCGACTTACCCCTGGCCCAGGCGGAGGAGGAGGGGGAGGAGAGGAGAGGGAGGAGGAGGACCTGCCCCCCCCCCCCCTTCCTCTTGGCCCCAGGGCTCTGGCCCTTCGCCCCGGCCCGCGCCCTCGCTGCCCTGGCCCCCCGGCGCGACGACGACGACGACGACGACCATCCTGCGAACGTGCAATCCTCGAGGCAGCTTCGGCCATCATGTGCTCCTCCCTCTCCCTTCCTCCTCTTGGGCCGTCGCTTCGTCGTCTCCTTCCCCCCTCTTGCATAGTGGCACGATTCGATTAACGGCAGCCACGTTTTGCTTCATTGCCAGCGTAGTGACTCTGCCAAGCCGCCGACGTAAAAAGTTTCTCCCTCTCCCTTGTACCGCCCGCGAAGTCCATATAGCAATCCCCTCTGGCGGGGGCCTCTCTTCATACCGGCTCCTGGGAGACGCATGCAGCTCTGCACTCTGTATGCGCACCGCGCCACCATGGTCGTAATGCGGGCTAACGCGCCCACGTGGAACTCACCACATTGATTGAATTGTGAGTACGTCTCGGGCGAGAGCGCCGTTCCTGAGATTCGGGGGCACTCTGGCCAAAACGTCTCCAAGTAGATTGCGAGGAAGTATCAAGCGAGATGCCTTGCCGTCGCAGCTGGGATGTTGCCCCATCGATTGAATTGCGTGAGTCTCGAGCAAGAGCGCCGTTCCTGTGTTTGGGGGGCCTCCTCTCCAGGGAATCTCGGAGTAAATTGTGAGGAAATGTCGAGCGGGAGCCGTTGTCGTCGAAGCTGGTGAATGACATTAAAACAAGTCTCGACCGAGGGCCGTTCCTGAATTTGGAGACCTCTCTGGCCAGGGCTTCTTGAATAAACTATGTAGGGGTATCAAGCGGGAGCCGTTGTCGTCGTAGCCCAGGCCTTCACGAACTTGTGAGACTTACAAGGAGATCTCGAGCGAGAGCGCCGTTCCTCAGTTTCGAGGTCTCCCCGGCCAGGGCGTCCTGGAGTAAATTGTGTGGAAGTACGAGCGGGAGCCTTTCTCGTCGTACTTGGGACTTGAAATGACGGGATTTGGAACCAAACCCGCGCTGGAACGGGAGCCTCGTAGCTGGTGTCGAAGCGAGAACGCCCGGAACCGTTTCCGGATATCAGCGACCCGCCACCGTGCCTGCGCTAAAGTGGCGTGTTAGAATGCTCATGTGGTCCCTCTGGGAGTGTTGTTTGATGTGTTCTAAGGCGGACCCTCTCTTGCACTCTTGCACCGCACGCGGGGTTAAGACACCGCCCCCCCTGAAATTGCTCCCCAGCGCTCTATTCGGCCTCCAGACGGCCAAGATGGCCTCCAAGTCGGCTTCCAAGACAGCCAAGACGACAGCTAAACGGCTCAAGACGGCCCAAGACAACGCAAGAGCCTCTCCGGAAAGCCTCAAGGCGGTTCGATAAAGCCCAGGAAGGCCTCACGACGGCCCGAGAGGCCCCAAAGAGCTCCAACAAGCCTTCCTGCAAAGCCCGACGGAGCCAGAACCGTCAATTTCCGTACGATGTTTGGATGTTTTAAGTTTCTCGCTTGTCCCGGTCTCTGACCACCAAAGACGGCTTCCAAGAAGCGTCCAAGATATCTCCAGGACACGAAGCGTATGAGAGGTGTGCTGAAACGGGGGTGGCGCCCACATGCGGGCTGCGCCACCGAGACATCCGGTGGAACTCCCTATGGGGCCACGAAACGTGTGGGTGGAGTGAAGAAGCGGGGGTGGCGCCCACATGCGGGCGGCGCCACTGGGGCCTTCGGTGGAGTTTCCCATGGGGCCACGAAACGTGTGAGGGGTGTGCCGAAACACGGACAAGCGGAGGGCAGAGACATGGATGGGAGCAGGGAGGAACAGGAGGAGGGGGAGAAGGGTGAGATGAGAGGAGATGTGGGACGCGGGGCGCTTCTTCTTCAAAACGGAGACCCATCACTACAGGATAGTTGGGAAAACTTCAAGAAGTTTCACGGATTGTGGGCGGCTCCTTTTCAAAGTGTGGTTCTCGACCTTCGCGCCGCGCGCATTCATCTAAACAAGACTACGAAATTCACGGGCTTCCATGGTTAACGTAGCAGAAACGGCACTTTGGAAGGATTCAGGACTGTCAGGGCGCCACAATTACATTGATTCGCGGTGGTAGAAAGTCCCAGGACAGGTGCCCTGGCACGATTCAGGCTCGTCAAAACGCAATAAGCAGGGTGACTCGCGGCGCTGGAGTCCCCAGAATGGTGTGCTGAGCATGCTTCAGGATGTTCAAACGGTTTCCTCCCATCGGGACACTTCCCTCAGTGGAATGAATCCTTGTGGGGGCCTGAGAAGAGGGAGCCTGGAGAGCTTACTTCAACACCGGTGATGGGTTTCGGGTTTACGGTAGTCCTCCTCTCCCTCCTGCCCGCTTGCTGTCACTCCTACCGCATTCGGCAACGAAGAACTCCGCAGCAATGCCACCTGGCACGCCGAGGCGCGGCAAACCGCGCGGGGCTGCCTAGCAGGGTCATGAATGTTGCTGCCGAGACGGCCCAAAAGGGTTCCATGGCAGCACACCATGTCTCCAGGACGGCCCCAACAAAACCGAAAGTGTCGGATCAGATTTCAGTCGGTGCTTGTATCCTGTTCGCACTGTCGCAATGATGCCACTGCGACGGGCCAGACGCGGTGCCCAAGACGGCACCTGGACCAACTCGCACACGACTATCCATGGGGTTGAGGACAGAGGCGGCAGCCTTCAGAACTTGTCAATCGACTGGCCTCTTGTCACTAGATCTTGTCTTTAGAACTCGTCTTTAGAAACTTATCAGCCTTCACAGGCGGCGGCTTGAAGAGATGATCGTGCCGAATCATCGACACATCGCCGATGCATTGCCGATGCGTCGGCGACGTCGGCGATGCATCGGCAACGTCGGCGTGGAGAAGATCGGGCTCCACGTCGAGCCGTATCGACGATGCACTAGCGATGCGGCGACATCTCCCGATACCATGTGCTCTGACCCCAAAGTACGCGTATGCCGCTACTTCCTGGACCACTCCCAGGGTGCCTTCTCGCGAGAATCTCGAAACGAATCCAGCCGTGGCAATGAGGGCCTCCGAGGAGGCCCAGCAAAAACGAAAGCGAGGCAAGGGTAGCGGTGCCGATACCTTTCTCTCCTCAGACTGGATCTGGGAGGCCAAGAAGCAGGCTTGAGGGCACGGGGCCGAAACAGCGGCAGTCCTTGGCGACGTCTTTGGCCTCCGGCTCGCCCGCGGGAGCGCCCGCCGCGGTGGTCGTGAGCGTCGCCGTCGGCTTGTCCCCCGCGGGGACGGCCCCGCTGGTCACCGTGGCCTCTGCGGGAACAGAAACCCAGACATCCAGCGTTTGAAAAAAAACGAGACGGCGGTGCTTCATGCTTTGAGCTAAATATCGACACACGCCCAGCCTTACAGCGCCCATGTATGCATATGTTCGGCAGAGCCCGCGGATGGCCCCGAATGATATCCCGACGTCGCATTTCCATCGTCGGCAGACTGGCAGGATGCACATGGCCGAACAAGCCACGCGCGCGGGGCCGCACAAACCTGAAGCTTCCGTCCTGGAGCACGCGCAAGCAATCCGCGGCCTGCTGATATGATACAGCCACGCGGCTCTCGCCGCAGGCACTGACAATGCGACTCAGCGCCAGAGGGTTTTCGTCATTAGAAATACGCCAATATACGGTGCACCGGGTTTGGTGGGTGTATACGTCGCTTTCTTGAAACATGTGTTATATTTCCCTCGGGTGTATAAATTCCTGGGTGGGTGTGTGCTTCGTTTGGGCGGGTGTACGTCATGTTTTTTGGGTGGTTTTTGTATATACGCCAGCTGTCCCGCGGAAAATCGAAACGCCTCTGGAAATAACGCGGATTCGCGAGGGCCGGTCCCACCCGTGCAGACGAGTACGAGCATCATCGATGCTGGCGGCGACCTGCATGGCCGCGTGCAGTCGGCGGGCTCGCTGGGCCCCCGCGAAGGCGGCCTCCGCGAAGCGTCGGCAACTCGTCCAAGACGTCCCCTGCGACCCCCCGAAGTCGGTATATTTGGGCCCGAGGCAAATTTCTCGTCACGGGTAATGAAAACATATTGACATCTGTATTGCGGGGTGGGCGTCGTAATCTTGCTCCCGATGTTTGGTCATTCGAGGCCCTCTGCCGTGCTTTGGGGCCATGAAGCAACGACTCGGAATTCGCCGGCCCAACGGGCCAGAGGCGTGTTAAGATCTCCGGTAACTGCTAAATAATGCTTCTACTTCGCGCGCGCGGGGCGGCCCCTGGGGGTCCCCGGACGAAAAGTACCCCGGGCGATCCCCGGCAGACTCGGGTCAGAGATGGTTTTCCTCCTGGGCGCCGCCCCCGTGGCCCTCCAGAGAGCCCCAAGAAGGGCCACGAGGCCGCCAAGAGCCCTCCAAGATGGTTCAAGAGTGCTCCGACATGCCACACGATCGTTCCAAGACGCCCAAGATGGCCCCCAGACGCCCCCAGAGGCCTCCAAGAGCACTCCCCAGAGGGCCCCAAGAGGCAAAATTCATTACTTTTCCTTAGGTTTTGGGCAGATTTTGGCGTGTCCATCTTTTCGGCTTCCCGACGCCCCAAGAGGGCCCAAGAGGCCCCCAAGATCGCCCCAAGAGGGCCCAAGAAGCTCCCAAGAAGGCCCCAAGATGGCCCAAGAGGGCTCCAAGACGGCCCCAGAGGCATCCAAGACGGCCCAAGAGGGGCCCAAGAGGGCCCCAAGCGATGCCCCAAAGGGGGAACATAAAACAAAACTTCGAGCCCTCGGCCTTAAGAAGCCCCCAGGAGGCCTCAAGAGGCCCCTGAGAGGCCCCAAAAGCCCGCAAGAGGCCCTCAGGAGGCCCCCGAGCGACGCTGAAGAGGCCCCCCAGCGGCCCCAAGAGGCTCAGTCATGCGAAATGGACCAGCGGAATGAGCGAAGCGATTCAATAAAGAGCCGGTCCCGGGGAAGGGGTCGAGAGCAGTGCTGGACCTAAACGTTGCTTTTCGTGTTGATTTCGTTTGGTTGTTCGTTTCTTTCTGCATGTTTTCCTGTGCCTCCCTGCCAAGCCGAAAAACAAAGCAAAGCCGCAGTCCGGCAGAACAGCGCTCAGGTCGAGCCCTGGTCGAGAGGTCAGGGCCCCGCGTCTCGAAGCTCTGGGAGGCGACCGCAGCCACCTCGGAAACATACCCGGGGGGATGCCCTGCCCTTACCAGCAGTGGCCAGGAAGCCGAAACCTGTTCGGCAGTGGCTGGAATATCCATTGGGCCGCTGGGGGGCGCTGGGGAGGGGCAGGAGGGGGGCGTTAAAGGGGGGGGGGTGCGACGCGGAATGAAGTGGTCGGGGCGGAACGGGCACTCGGCGGAGGTTCCCTTGGACTGGCGGGGAAGGCTGGGGAGGGGTAGGGGGGGGGCGGTGAGGGGGGGGGTGCGGTGCGTCGTGCGGCGGATGTGGCACCCGACAGGACAGCCAGACCGACCACCAACCACCACCGAAGAGCTCAGGTCGAGGTCGGTGGGATCTTCCCCGAGGGCCCCCCGCCCCCGAACAGTTCACTCGATGGTGCCCGCGGTTCCTTTAGAAGACAAGAGGATTGCGTAAACGAAGCTTTTGGCGCTCCGCGCGGTTCTCTTGAATCTGCGCTGGACCCCCGTCCCTGGCGCACGCAGCGCGCCAAGGGAAGCGCCAGAGGCGCCGCCACGTTGCTCCCAGCGCGGATCCAAGAAATCCGCGGGGAGCGCCAACAGTTTTTGTTTATGCCGTTCGATCTTGTTGAAGGGGCGGGCCTTCTCAGAAGGCTCGGACGTCCCCCTGACATTTGAAGAGTCTTCGAAACTCTCCCCGAAGACACGAAAAGCCTCTCAGAGGGCGCCGCGATGGCCTCTGAGAAATCCCGCATCATTCTGAGCTGGCCTTTTCCTTCTCACTTCTCTGAAGTCGGGCATGTCCTTTTACAGGAGGAGAATTGAAAAATAGTCAGAAAATTGACCGGGGGCGATTGTTCGATTACTCTTCGACCGTTGTTGACAAGTGTTGAACTATTTAAACAGTTCGTCAAAAATACGCCTGTAGGAGAGCATGCCCGACGTAATTAACACTTCCCCACCTCGCCCGCCGCCGCCGCGGTTCTCTCGGGCCGGGCGAAAGGGGGGGATAGCAACGGGGGGGGTTGAGAATCAAGCGCCGGAAGCGGCCAGGCATCGAGGAATGGGCCCCTCGGCGGGGCTGAAACCAGCTGCATGCAGCAGATGTCTGAATCCCCCCTCCTTTCCCCTCCTTTCCTGTTCCCATCCTACTCAAGGACCGCATCCCAGAAATATTTTCGAGCACCCCGAAAAATGTCAAAAGAGTGTCGAAACAATGGAACAGTGTCGGACGAGTGTCTCCCAGGGCCCGACACGTGAAAACCTTTGAATTTCGGTACCCCTTTGGGCGCTCGAAATTCTTCCTGATCAAGGCTCAAGCAGGCTGGATCATCATAGCCCAGTCCCCCCCTTGTCGTCTGGCCCGATTCCCTGCGCTGCACCCGGAACCTCCCGCTCGACCCCGGGGGCGGCGGCCTCTGGCCCCTCCGCTGCCGCGCCACCCTCGGTGCTCGCGGTGGCCGTGGCCGTGGACGCCGCCGACGCCTCGTCCACGGGCGCGGCAGCCTCGGGCTCCTCCGCGCCGTGCATGTCTGACTGATGGACACAGCAACATCATGGCAGCGCACACGTGGGAAGCGTACTTCTCTTCTCTTGATTGTCCTACGTCCCCCCCTCCATGTTCTGCCTTCTCCCCTCCCTCCGCAGGCTCCTCCACGGGGGCGCCGACGTCGGTGTTCGTGGTGGTGGTCGTGGACGCCGCCGGCGGCTCGTCCACGGGGGCTGGGGCATCGGGCTCCTCCACGGGGGCGTCGCCCTCGGTGTTCGTGGTGGTGGTCGTGGACGCCGCCGGCGGCTCGTCCTCTGGGGCATCGGGTTCCTCCAAGGGGGCGTCGCCCTCGGTGTTCGTGGTGGTGGTCGTGGACGCCGCTGGCGGCTCGTCCGCCGGGGCGGGGGCCTCGAACTCCCCTGGGGGGGCACCGCACGTGGTGGTCGTGGACGTGGCCGTCGGCTTGTCCGTCGGGGCGGACGCCCCCTGGCGGGGGGGGACATTCTGAGGGGCGGGGGGGGGGGGGGGGGGGGGGAGGAAGGAAGAAGGGGAGGGGGGGTGAGAGGGGAGGGAGGGGAAAAGGGGGACAAGGGGGAAGGAAGGAGACGAACAAGGAAAGCAGAGATGGGGCAGGAAACGAGGAAAAGAAAGGCGGAGGAGGAAAGGGGGGACAGTGGAGGGGGATGAAAGAGGAAGGGGGGAGTAGAAAGATGGAACGGGATGAAGCGACAAGGAGCACAGCATCGCGTAGCGACTCAAATCCACTCTATCGCTGTCAAGGATGCCGCTTGCCCCGCCAAGTGGTCGACCACCTCATTCCCCTGGACCCTCTAACAGTGATGACTCCGCAGAAACCTCCTCTGCTTCCGGACGAGATACAGGCTTTGCATCACCGCGAAATGCGAGGCACGCCTCGGCCGACGATGCCGACGGATCGCCCACCATACCCCCGATCGCCCACCATTCTCTCCGAACTTCGGCACAATCAACGGCACATGTAATATCACTTGGGGGAGGCCAAGAAGGGGGGGGGAGGGGGGGGGGCGAAAATCATGGCCGACGGCATGTGCGTGGACCACGGCGGGGTGCAGGGACGCAGTGAGATAGGAAGGGGCGCCATGATTTTTGGGGAAATGTCACAGCCCACGCCATGATATACACCCCCCGCTAGTCCTCACCCCCTCTTTGGCACCCCCGAATATGTGTATATGTGTATATAGAAATACACAGATCACCTATGTTGAACCTGATTGCCGGTTCTGATGCCGCCAGTTCGCCCGCTGGCCACGGCGTGAACGTCTGCACGTCCCCCTGACGGGGTCCAGACAAGAACCGATGGCCTTCGATCGGATCAAACTGCCTGATCGCGCACACACACATATACGCGCGCGCACACACGCGCACGCACGCACGCACGCACGCACGCGCGCAGTCACGCACACGCGCGCACACTCGCACACGCGCGCACATATACACTCCTCGTGCATGGATTTCTCACATATCGCGGCGCCATGTCCCACTCCTGACACGTAGGGCCTTTTTCGTCAGGTTCAGCCTCTCGATGGCGTGTCCGCGGGAGCGGGATGCCTGTTCAAAGGTCTGTGCCGTCTTTAGACCAATGATGTTAATATTACTGCCAATATACGGAAGAATCGTCAACATACCATTGATCATAGTTCCACTGTTAGCTGCCAAGGATAGTTCGTGGCATTCACCAATTAGCCCAGGCACTTCAGACAATGTCGTGCCATGCATGCCGCTGCGGCGCCTCTGCTCCAACACCCAGTCGCTTCGTGACAAATACCCACAAAGGTCTTCATCCGCAATGCGATTCCTCTCAAAGATCCAGGCTGTAGGATATTCGTCGTGCGCATCTGGGTGTGATGCGGCGGTAGTGGGCAAATTCAAGAACGTGTCCTCATCCGCGCGCATGCCCATCTGACCGCCCGTATTTACCATAAACACAGCATGCACCATATCGCGTCCTGCGCTGATTGCGTGGACGAAGGTCTCGCCCATATGGCGTGCATGTATGTGGGGCCTGAAGCCATTGAGCGCTCCTGTCGGCAGCCCTTTCCACGCGCCCCAACCGCATGTCGCTCACTGGCACAGAAGGTGGTGCTGATGTAACAAGTGCCCCTGCGATGTTGTCGGTCTCTGCCACCAACGGCATAGGCGCGTCCATAGCAGGTGTCCCTGCAAGTATGGTTCCCTCCGTTACTAGCCCCGCGTTGGCTGGCGGCGCAGGCTGCACCGCTGGTCTCGTCATCGGCGCTGCCGCAGTGCCCGTCATCATCGCCGTGACGCGGTTGAGCTCTTCACGGGAGTCCCTGAGCTCGTTCGCCCCTCGGAGTATATCTTCATGACGGTTGAGTGACTCCTGATCTCCAGCAAGGGCGTAGTGGACCTCGGCAGTACTTAGATAGCGCAGGGGGCCTCACTGGCAAGCTTCCATGTCCCCAGCCAACTGTCTATCCACATGAGCATGTGCCACTCGATCCCAGCATTGCGCGTGAAATATGTGGCCGCACCGGAGCCGCCAGACTTGATCGTGGTTTACGATATGGTCGAGGCATACGGCACACTTGATGACGTCGCCGTCACTGATGATGGGCGGTGTTGCCGATGGCCTGATGCGCGTCTGGCGCTCCAGGGTGGACTCGCCAGCCTCGTACCGAATCGGCGATACCGTCGGCAATTACATTGGTGCAAGCGTGGCTGGACTGCTCGGAAGCGCCCCTGCTGCATTGGGATTAGCAGGTTGCCCCGCGCAGCTCAGCATTCTATCGGCCTGGCGCTCCTGATTTCGGCGCTGGCGGGCAGACTGCATCGCCAGGTTGGCCTGCTGCGCCTCATGTATGGCTAGGGTCTCAGGGCGCAGCCCCCCCATGGTCGGTGAGAGTACTCGGCCTGGGGCCTGTTGCCGCACATATTGGTCCTTGGGGGCGGCCAGATCTCCATGATGAAGTGTCTGGCCTGGCACACCTGATGCATGCCCTGAGCCGCGCGTCAGCTGCGACTGGTAGAAGTCGCCGGCCGTCGCCCGAACATATGGGTTCTCGGGCTGTGTTCCCACTGGGGGAGTACAACTCACCTGAGCGTGATAGTCAAGATAGAGTGGGTGATCCATTGATGCTGCTGTTGGACGGTCAGCAGACATTGGATCGTAAGCCGGATGGCTGAAACATGCTGGCACGTATCCAAACCGATTGGGTTTGTCCGGCGATGGATTTGGATCCGGAACATACCCCCAAGGCGGCGTCCAGTTGGTACTAGGGGAGCTAAGGCCGTTCCTACGCATTCTCTGAGCGGCTTCACGCATCTGCTGGTGCATCCGTTCTTGCTGACCAACTAAACTCTCGGTTCTCTGTGCGGCATAATGGTCAGGAAAGCCAGGTTGCCCCGCATGTGGATGTGGCGATGCAAGTAGCGACTTCGCCTGTAAAGCCTGAAAGGGCTGCGCATCCATTCGAACGCTTTGGAGCCTCGCCTGCAGGCTGTTAGTGCTCCCGGCACTCTGTGGAGTATCAAATGGTGTAGTAGCTCTGCTGATTGGAGCAAATGAAGCAGGTTGCGCGGCAGGTGTTGGCAGTTGTTGCACATGAGCACGCCACGAATCGTTTAAAGCACAACGTGTCGGAGGGCGTGGTGCCACTTGAATTAATGCCTGTCACATCTGCGCTCTGAACCTGCATCCATAATCCATCAGATCCCCCTGCAAGTGCCCCCGCGTGATACGCGTTCTATATCATGAATACTGCTAAGAACACGGCATTCTGAGCTGGAGGCGGATCGGGGCCCTTCAAGATGTGGGGGGTCTTTTGGGATGAACCAATCCCTTAGAGATGATGCATCATTACGGAACTCGTAAATCTTTTCAACCGAAGTATTACCACTCGTATACGGCTAATTGCTGTCCCGCAAATAGAGGATTGACCCATCTATGTCCCGCACGATTGTACTGACAATTGGGGTTGGGCAGAATCACGATCAACTGGGCGATGTGGGTCCTGCCCGCTGCCATCACGATATCATTCGCTGAACGCCAAATCGGAATGCTGTCCCGAAGCAGGTTCTTCATGCTGACCATGGCCAACACCTCGGAATCAACGCGCAGGCCGGAATGAATCCGATCGTCACCAGGAAAGTATGGGCACCCGTGTAAAAACTGTCTGCCCCTCGTCCTGCCGGCGTCGTCAGAGCGGCATGACAACCCAATGCTAAGTTTTCTCTATGTTCCCATTGAGTTCCACGGATGCAGTAACAAGGCGCCCCAGGAGCGGACAGGTCCGTAATCCTCATAGATAAAGGTTCAGGGCATAGCATACCAGGGCTGCTGTGTCCGATACTTGGGCGGATGAAGTACGCGTCGCGCTTCTCGGAGGGGTAGTTCAACTTCTTGAGCTGCAGCCAGTTCTTTTTTTCATTCCAGTCTCATCAACCATGCCGATACGCCCAATGCATGTCCTTGAGCTTGTGCATTGGTGTTCTAATGTCCTTCAGCCGGCCAAATGTGAAATAATTCAAAAAATATGCCCATCCGTCGCACTCGTCGTAAGATGGTACTTCCGCCAGGAATCTGTCCGAAAATTTACCTCTATGAAAAAGTTTGTGACGGAGGGCAGTCGTCAGCCACTCTGAGACCATGCGCTGGTCTTCGTAGCCGAACTTCGGCATGTGAACATATTCCGATATGAAAGCCCCATCCAAATCTTCCTTCTCAGAGTCAAGCGTGAGTCCGGGGCGTTCCCGCAGAAGGTTGCGCAGTGCTTGGCGCGTGTGCGACTCTGGGCCATGATGAACAGCAGTGTCTACGAGGTTACATTGCACCACCATATATCGACCAGACCCGTCGTCATTCTTGGGATGATACGCTGGGATGCGGTTGGACATGCGTATCCCTTCCCAGTGCTCTCGGCACTCCACCGGCACCTCCAGCGCGGGGGCACGTTGCCGCGCTCAGCTCTGAGCAGGTTGCCCCGCGGAGCTCTGAGCAGGTTGCCCCGCGGAACGCGGGGCTGCCACTGATGCGGCAGGCGCTGCGGCGCTCGCCGCCGATATGGCAGCGCCGGCAGTTCCTCTGGGCGTCCGTGGAGTTCCTGTCGGGGCACTGATATCGAAGTCCTGGCGTGTCTTTTCCTCGATGTTGCAGGACTCGGCTGTCTGATCTCTAGGCGCCATTCCTGACGCCGTCGACGAGGTGGCCAATAGCTTTTCAGCACCGCGTTTCGTAGAAGAAGCATATCTGGTCCGCCTTTCCGGCGCGGGCGCCCACCCTGTCCTGTGCGCCCGACCTGGCGCATGGCCGCGACGTGCCACAGGCTCCTTTGGAGTTGGCGCACTGGTGCCCTGAAATGCAGCTGCTGCGGCAGCCACTGGTGGTCCTCTGGCTCGTTGTCGATCAGCAGGTTGCCCCGCATGTCGCTGCTGCTTGCCGCCCCCAGGGTTGGGTTACCTGGGCTCTTCCTCTTCTTCCTCTTGGGCCT